GTTGAAACCATCGTTGTGCGGTGGAAATGGAAACTGTATCGGGTCCATAAACTGCACAAATTTTATTGGCGGCTTGAGATGCATTTTTGCCTTTATCATAGTAAAATATGCCGTATTTTCTCTTTATTTTGCTCCATGTTTGCGACGCTATAACTCACGAACGACTTAAAAGACACGACAATCAATCAAACACGTGTTAGCGCGTGAAATGAGCTTTCCAAAAAGATGCTACGAATAAAACTAGAACTACGCGCTCTAAGCGCCAACTAGCGAAAATACCGCAAGACTTTTTTGACAACCTAATATGTATCTTGGTTCTGCGACCAAAACAGATACACAGAATAAAGCTTTACTCTTGTATTTCAAACGGTCCAATAATGCTTTGTAATAATTTCTATTGCTGTTGCTCCCTTTTACAAGGTAGTAAATAAAAACTCTTCTATGCGCATTCCAAAATAAAGACTCAATAACCTTGCAAGCTATCGCGTTTTTCCATGTTTTAAAGCGGGTTCATCTTATCCAGTCCACTCAGTTGATTGTAGATTGGACTTCAGAGTGAAATGATGGAGCCAAGTTTCATCCATTGTCACATATCGACGCAAATCGCGGGTTTATTACGCTTGTACATCACTAAACATTACTTCGAATCATCAACTCGTTGTTGTTGTTGTTTTAACGGTTATCAGTCCCCGTTGGGATGGTGACAGCTATCTGTGTTGTCGTCGATGTCATCTAACGGGAGGCCCAGGAAACGTGCTGTTTCGACGGGGTCGGACCAGAGGGAAAAGGGTGTTAGATGGGTTTCCCACGATGCAATTGATGCCCAAGATGGCAATTCCCACGACAGCCGGTTCTACGTTACCGGAATTGACTCGGATTTCATTCGACCAAGGGCTGTTCTTTCGGCGATCTAACCCTGTTTGGATCGGTGAGTGTTAATCATCAACTCGTCGTTGTTTTTGGTCAAAATTGAACTAACGCGGCACTCACTTTGCACAGAGCCTCCTCATACCCAAATATTCCTGAATGATATGATGCACATGTTCAGTTGATATATTTAGTGGACCTGCTATCTCGAACAACTTCATTTTAGAGTCATCCAAGATTATTTTATGGACTTTTTTCATGTTTTCGTCGGTAACAACTTTTGTTTTTTTTCTTTTTTTATGACGCATTCGCTCTCATTAATACATATATTTTTATTTAATGAAAGCTTAAACCCGTCATTCACCATACACTGCAGTCCAGTAATTAAATCACGCACTTTAATTTGAATAAAATTTAGCTCAATAGCAGTTATGTGTATGAATATTCCACAATCGTTATCCATTCAGCGCATAAGCGCATTATTAAAGACCGGCCGCCACCTGTGCGTTGCGGAGAGGGATGCGCACAAATTTTTACGCTGTGCATACGTTTTTTTGCGGAATCCGTTGTCTGGAGCATATGTCATAAACGTGTATAAATAAATTTAGCAGCATTCATTGCATGACTCAGTTGTGACTAACTTTACATTTTTACATAGTATGTACATATGTATGTGCATACGTTATCTTTAAGCTTCTAAGAAGTGAATGTTGTCGAAGTCGCCCCATACAACCATACACCACACACACACACACACACAGAAGCACTCATACATTTACATGTGTGTATTATGCAGCCACTGGCGGGCCATAGAAATGCTCAGTCTTCCAACTTTTTCATATGCAAATCTGCATAACAACTACAACAACAACTATACGGGGAGTTCAACGTCATCGCCAATGTTGCCTGCAAGACCCCACGATCTCCTGTTATACAGACACGACGCGGCAGTAGAGTTGTTCAGGGGGGATGTTAGTGCAGCGTGTGTTGCACCAGCTCGTTAAGGTGAAAAGTAAATAAATGTGAGGTTCAAGAGATTTTCTGCACAACGCTGCGCTAAGAGGCAAGTAAAAAGAAAGCATTTTCATGCATAAAAGCAATAAATAGGGGGAAAATATTGTAGTTTCTGTGGGAAAGACAAGCTTTTGAGTTACTCTGTTTTGTTTGTTGTTGTTGTTGTTGTTTTTTTTTCTCTTTGCCTTCCTTTTATTTTTACAATTTTCTACTTCATCAGCGTAATTCAATTCGAGTTGTCAACGCGCACGCCAAATGGGCGGCATTTCGCCTTTGCGCGCCGACACCGCTACTCACCTAGCATTTTGCTCATCAGCTAGGCACTTGTTAAGCTGTTGCTTTCGTAGAATGAGCGAAAGAAAATTAATACGCCAACTCGGCGCAGACAGTCAACCACACATTCTACCAACTACCCAAACACACAGACACAAGTCCACTGTACTCGGCCCACCTGTGATTGGCGTAACTTACAAACTTAGGTGGGTGAAAAATTCGGTAATATGCCTGTGGCTGAATTTGAAAATTTCCATTTATGCTTGACTAAAAAGGCGAAATCCGGCAAATACCTAGGAAAAATGTGTGGAATTTGTTTTTTATTTTGATTCGCATGTTATGTAGGGATTTTTTTGGGTTGATGTATACCTAAAAATGCATAATGTGTGTTAGTGGGCATTATGAGAAACCGAGATTTGTTGATCATCGCGCATATTTTCCCTACCATCGAAACAACACGTTTCCTGAGCTTCCTCATCTAGCTTTTGATCATAATTTACTTGCGCCTCGCCACCCAAACTGGTTCGGGGTAACCGTTATAACAGCAATAACTGCTGACATTTGTTTTGGGTTTTGTTCATATTTAAGTAAGTCACTTCGAGGTTTCCTACTAAAAAAAAACAGGGAAACTTCAAATTTAATGGAAAA